TTTAACCGCAACTCCAGAAGGAAGAGGGAAGAGCCATGATGTGAGTAAAAGTCTGTGAAGTGCACCTCATCACACCTGCGTGGAGGAGCTCAAAGGTTCTGAAAGAAAAGGAGTGATTTAATCACAGTCAGTCAGGGATGGATCTGGAAAAATGTCTAGGTGCCCCGAAAGGGCTGTAAGCAAACCTAAAGCTTCAAAATTTAGATCTAGAATCATAGAATAATTTAGCTTGGAAAAGACCTTAAGATCATTGAATCTAACTGTAAACCTGGCACTGCCAAGCCCATCACTAAACCATGTCCCTAAGCGCCACATCAACACGTCTTTTAAATACCTCCAGTGATAGTGACTCCACCACTTCCATGGGCAGCCTGTTCCAATACTTGACAACTCTTTTGGTGAAGAAATTTTTTCTAATATCCAACCTAAACCTAAATGCTTCCTTGCCTATCCCTTCTGAAGAGTTCATAGCCATCCATTGCAGCACTCCAGTTGTCCGAATCATCCCACTGTGTTTCTGTGATGGCAACTATATCATAGTTCTTCAGCTGCATAATGGCTTCCAGCTCCTCCTGTTTCTTGCCCATGCTGTGTACATTGGTGTAGATGCACTTCAGTTGAGCTGTTGATCCTGCCACCTTTTTTGGGGGGAAGAAGCCCTAATTCCTACGTGACCGTTCTCAGGCACTTCTGTGGTTTCTAACACATCAATAACCCTTGTGTCTTTGCTGCCACATGGATCTCCATCCCCTGCCTCCACTGATACAGCAGACCAAAGGACTTCGCTAGCACACCAGTCCCTCAAACATTCACGTCTCCCCCAGGCTTATCTCCAGCAAGCCTGGTTTTATCCCTTTCCCTCTTCAAATCTAGTTTAAAGCTCGTAAAGAAAAGTACTCGTTCAGCAGCTGCCTAACCCTAGAGGCAATTTAATTGATTTGGTACCTCTCTGTTGGGCTGCAGAGGTCCCCCCAGAACCTGCAGTTCTGCTCCTGTCTGTGCCCTGGACTTCCTGGCCATGCATCTCTGCTGCTTGCCCCTGCCTAGGGTGGATCAGGATCCCAAAACTAGGCAGAGAGGTATTGCAGTCCCTGGAGCCCCATCAACAAGCCCAGAGAGACCACCTCCATCATATACTGCCGTACACCAACCACAGCTCTTCTCACCTCTATGTACATGTTCTGCATTAAAGAACCCTGAATAAAATCACCCCAGGAGTAGAACTTGCTCTTGCCCTTCCTCCTACCCCATGCCAGCTGACTACCCTACCTACTAGTGCTCTTCCCTCCGGATGTGCTTGTGCCATGGTGCCCAGCCTTGTCCAGGACAAGCTCTGTGCAACTCCTCGCTCCATGACCCTGGTGGCTTTCCCCCAGGACATACGCCCGCAGCTGAAGCAGCTACTGGGGTTTGGATTCCCAGGCAGAGGCAGGCACACAGGTTGTATGTACTTGGACCTAGCCTTAAGCAGGGAAAAAGGCATTTGGCAGCAGAGGGATCTTCCCCTTGGCGGAGTAAGGCATCGTGAGATTACAAAACTGCAGAATGAGACTTGGCAGATTCAGATTCAGGACAAAAAACAATAATAATTAACAATGTGGGTAATTAAGCAGTGCAAGAGCATGCTGAAGTCTGTGACTGGTTCTTCAACACTGAATTTTTACACCAAAATGTCTTTTTCTCAAAGAGATACTCTAGTTCCAATGGGAGTGAATTAAGTCAGGGGAGTTTTCTGACCTGAGGTAGGTAGAAGATCACACAGATAATCCACATACTCCCTCTGGCCTTGTGACTAATTCCCTTTGGTACAGCTACTCCTGATGTAAGTGAGATCCGCTTGGACCTGTGCTTGCCCTCAGGAACTTATAAACGAATTACGTTTGTTGTGTCAACCCATTAGATACTCATAGGCTGCATGCAGACTCATTAGTTAGACTGAATTATGTCTTTGCTCTTTGAACATTATCAAAATATTCATATCTAGCATGTTTCATGGTCTTCTACCATTACTCCTTCTTTGTACACAGATTTCTGTGGTTACTCCTCGCTAACAAACCAGACTCTTAATACGCATATGCCAGTTTCGGTTATTTCGTAGATTGAAACTATAGTGGCTGATGTCATCCTGATCTTTTAAATCTATCTTACTTTTGATGAAACCTTTTATTTTTAGATTTTTTTTTAAATATTTGTTGCAGATCTCATACGTTAACTTTTTTTTAAAATACCTAGCAGCCCAGATTGCCACAGAGGATGTACAGAAGCTCACACATACAGAGCCTGCAGGCCCCTGGTACCTCCACATCTGCAGTGTTTGCAAAGGAGCCTGGTCCATGGTCTCTCCCAGTGAGCAGGATGTTCATGGAAGGTGGGATGTGATAGAGATATATAAATACAATGGCAAATGCATAAAGCACCTGGAGTCAGTGCAAATGAGCTGTTTTGCTTGGAGCTGACTCTAGACTACTCCAAATTTTCCTAAGACACATCTAGGCAGTCAGGCTTTTACTGTGAAAAACTCAAGTCCCTGTACTTCCTTTGGAGTCTGAAGCACTCTGCCTCATCTTTTTCCTTCCTTCTTTAAGAACAAGCAATGAGGAAGTGGTTCTGGGAAAGTTACGAGAAGCCAGCACTGTCTTCCATCTGCAGTGACGTTCCATTAGGCTCTGGAGGAGGGAAGGTCCATTGGGTGTCATCTTCATGTCTTCATCCCGAGCCAGGATTTCTAGGGGAGCCCAGTGCCCCATGACTGCAGGAATATCAAGAGCTGCCCCAGAGCCACTCTCTTCATTCACGTTTATCTACCAGTTTCCATTCTTGCTGTGCTGGCTGTGCATTTAACATGTGAATAGTAGGTTTTTATCACTGTTATTCAGCACCTACATACTTTTGCTGGAAGGAGGAGAGTAGGGTGGGGAGGTTTTCGGTTAATGAAACTATTATTTGCTGACAAGATCACCAAGTATCTTAAGAAGAGAAAATTTGATCTCCTTCCAAGTAACTAAACAGGAATTTGCACTGCAGAATATGTTTGAAGCATGCGTATTCCAGGAAAAAAAAAAAAAGAAGAGTGTTTAGAGTCCCATCACCTAGAGACTTCAACATCTCTGAGGAAACAGCATCAGTGATCACACAATGTCCACGTTCTTTATGATGACTTGATTATTTTAGCTCCAGGCCAGTGGAGCAGTACGTGAATACACCCTCCTGCTAGACCCATCTGACATGAACTTAACCTCATGGAAATTCCTCTCTTGTGCCTCAGCTATTCCTAAAGCTTCATCTGGCCTGGGAAAATAAGTTCATCTTGAAGCAAGTACGCAAGAAACCCGTTCCAGCTGACTGGGTTTTTCACATGCAGACATTAAGTGTGGCTGACACTGGTGGAGTCCTCGAAAGAGCATGAGAGTGCTTCAGGTGTCTTGGCTCTAAGAGGTGTTTGGGAGTGTCCCTAAAGGAGAGTTGGACTTCGAGTCCTGCTCCTGCAAAGTTGCAGTCACAAAACATACAAGCACGAGCCTCACCAGGACTGCAGCTCCACTGCCCCCTCCTACCCCGAGACCAGCAGGGGTTAAGGACATGTAGCCTGATGCTTCCTGGCCCTATGACCGTGCAAACAGCTGCAGGGGCTGGCCATGCTGCCCACACCATGGCTCCAATGCTGCCGCTGCTGACCCAGGCCCATCATCGATCCTACCCAGGATCAGCGGGTGCTTGTGGGTCAAGGAGGTTGTTGGCCGTTAAGGCAAAAGCATGAATTGGTGCACAGTGTCTGACGTGCATCCAGTCAAGCAAGAGGCTGCTGTGGATGAAAGCCCCAGGGATGGTGTGCAGTCCCACCATGCTTGGGAGTGCGGTACCCGAGCACCCTGCTGTCAGCTGCAGCCACTGGCTGAAGGGGCAGAAAAAAAGGCTGAGTACCCACTAAGGAGGAGAGGAGACATTTCACTCATGTGATTTCACAAGTGACAAAACCAGCCTAAAATTGAGAGTAGAGAACAAGTGAGAAGAAAAACACTGTTTACATAATTCTTTGGTAGTGAAAAGGGTCAGCGGTTCTTGCGGGAGAAGAGGAATGCAGTTTTTAAGAAATAAACAGCATCGCTGTACTTGGTAATAGCTGGATAGTCCTGCTTTCCTGGAGAGTAACACAGAAGTTTATGATGGGCTTATATGCCTTGTCTTTTTGCCCCACAATCTCTCCTCT